AGTCATGTAGAGAAAATAATAATTTTGAAATTCCTTTTTTCCGGAATTTTATTGGAAGAAGAAAAAAGTTTTTTTCAGGGGGGAAAAAAAAATTTTAAAAAAAAAAAAAAAAAAAAAAAAAAGAAGAGAAGAAATGTTACTTTTCTCGTTCATCATCATCTCATTACTACTTGTTTAAGTATAATGGATATTGAACGAGAATAAGAGCATGCACACATGTGTCTTTTATATTTATAAATTAAATACAAGTGATTGATTATTATTATTAACGACAAATCACAATGGAATACATTTATCATTTTACAAATATTATTCGAAATACAACACAAAATTTATTCTATAAAGCAACTAGGTGAGGATTATTATTTATGTATATTTATCATTTGATCATTCTTCGAAATACCCATTTAATAATCTTTTTCTTAATTTCCCTGAGTTTTATTTAAAATGATGTTCTCACATGATGAAAATGATTATTTTTGTTAACATTATTTATATAAATATTTCAATCTCATTTACAGATAATGTTAATAAAAAGCTTGACTATGTATTACTGTGAGCGCATAGAAATCATTAGAAATTTTTTTCATTACATATAATGTGTCCTTGTTTAGAAAAAAAAAAAAAAAAAAAATATTTCAAAGCACTATAAACTCAGTTTGTGTCCGTGTATCAGATTACATATCCATTTTTATTTTCTCTTTATGTTTGCAAAAGAAAAGATAAAAATAATAAGAATAAGAATGTAAAAGTAATTATTGATTAGTTATTAAATGAGAGATATAATAATTTAGGTTAAAATAAATAAAATTGAATAAATCAATAAAGATGAAAGATGAAAGATGAAAGATGAAAGATTCGTTTATTTTTCTCTTAACTATCGATTAAGAATAAAAAAATTTTTCTATTAACAATCGATTAACAATAAAAAAGCGTTATCTTCCTATTTAATGTTTAATGGATAAGTGATGTTCTCACTTGAAAAACAGCATAGTCTAATAGTCGGAAGGAAATTAAAAAAAAGAAAAAGAAAAAGAAAAAGAAAAAGGAAGGTGATTTGAACTATAAAAAGAGGGAACGAGAAAATTCAATAGGTTTTCGTATTTCCGTTTGTAAATAAATGACTGTTATAAAGAGAAGATTAGAGAGGAAGACTCATTCCATATGGGAAATCATAAAACATTGAAAGTACATACATAAATAACTATTTATTCAATAAGGAATATCGAAATATTCAAATTATTTAAACGATAGACAAAAACTGATTTCATCCGGATTTTTTTTTTAAATAAAATATAATAAATGAGATGGCTTTTTCATATATTACTCAAAGGAATATTATATTAAATGACAGGAACTCATATTCTTGTAACCTAAAGCGATGAATCTTTGTGTTTTTTTTTTTGTTGTTGTTGTCAAGGTCAGTCATCATCAATATCTATCAATGTATTTCATATTTTTCCCAAGCGATCTCAACTTTAAAAATAAGTCAGCTGTAAAAACTATATTTTGTTGTTCTTTTCATTTTTCTAAAATACACACATTCCCCAAACAGTTAAACTTATGAAAATACATCAACAACAACCATTCAGATAATCAATTTTATTCTGTGAAACATAAAGTAAATCATTTTGAACGATAGATAGACA